CCACCCCTCCCCCTTTACCTCTCACAAACTTTCTTCCCCCTTATAATCCCAGTGCCACGTACGCCAAGTCGATAAATTCGTTCACCGGATATCAACGTGTCTGCTGAAGTATAACGATCTTTCTTTTTCGTTTAGCTTCGGCTACGTGTGGGTGTGACAGCTCGGCGTCAAAATGGCGGATACCACAATCGTCCAACTTCTCGCTCTTGTTGTGTTTGTTGTTGCTCTGGTCAGCGGTGAAGATGACCATGGCACGAATACTGTCAGCTATGACAAGAAAACCTTTGAGGCCGGCATTGCGAAGGGCCGGAATTTTGTGATGTTTTATGCACCTTGGTAAGACTTTTAACTCTAGAAAAAAATCTAAAATCTAGACAAGATTCTGGGTCTAAGACTCAACACCGGCACTTGTACTTTTCAATTACTTTTTACTTAACTTTGTAGAGAATCTATTTTATATAAGGCTGGCTAAGAGATTTTAATTTAGATTTAGATAGATCTAATCTAGATCTAGAATTTAGATCTAGAGTCTAGTTTTAGTCTTTTATTTAGCTCAGACTTTTGATTATAAGGTGTTCGTTTCTTGTTTCTTGTCTAGATCTAGAGCTAGACTGCCTATCTTGGCCTCCATGACCATAGCCTATCATGACTCATGTCATATGATATAATTTACCAATTCCATGGTTTTATAATTAAATTTATTTATAATAAATAGATTAGTAGGCTGGCTAGACCTTGGCAAAGTCAAAGGGTGTCAAACTCAAATACATAGGACATAGGTCTAAATTTAGATCTGATACTAAATAAAATCTATCTGATCTAGATCTAGAGTTTAAAGTTGCAGGCTAAACTGGTCAAGCACTCACTCAACAATGAGTCAGTGGAAATCTAAAAAATCTATTTTTCAAAAACAATCATTGCAATGCGAATCGCTCAATCAGCAATCAAACACAAAAGTTAGGTCACTGGCGTGAGACTTCCCATGTTAGAGAATCAATTTCAAGGTAAAAAGACACAATCACCAAACTTAACCTTTCAAATCTCAGCAATTAAGCCTAATTAGGGAATAGGGGCTAGGTTGTCTGTTAAGTCTGTTAAATTAAAATAAAAATCAGGAGGAATTCAGTAACGAGCGACCACTATGACTTGGTGGAGTAGAATAGAGGGTTAGGATTTGGGGTAAGGTAAGGGTAGGGGTATTTTTACGGGTAGGGTTAGGGATTGGGTCAGGGTTTAGGAGTTTTCTTTTCTATTGTTGGTTGGGGTGGTCGCTTATTACGGAAGTCATTCCCAAAAATCTTTAAGATTAATTCCACAAGAAGTAGGTCTAGGTCTACAAGAGAATTAAAAGTTAAAAATATGAACTCAAACTTAGCTGTCTAGAAAACATGTTAATTTTTCTTTGCAACAATTCCTTTTAAAAAATTGTGTTTTTGGAGTAAGTAATGGTCTGTGTGTTCTCAGGATGGAGTGGATAAAAAAAATATCTTGCAGACTGGTTTTTTGTACAGAGATTTAATTGTTCGCTGGGTCCAATGTGGTCCACGGCACAGGCCGTGATTCTTGAGTCGTGAGTTTGACGCCTGAGAGGACTTCGGCAGAGGGCCGGCCGACCAACGACACTCAAAAGTGGGGATATATATTTTGAGCGGGATTATACCCTAACAGCTAACCTTAACCCTACCCTAACCCGTGTATGGTTTGCTCAGTGGACCTTGTCATGGTAAGTGCTGGTCCTCTACAGAATTCGGAATTTCTCTCCTGTCATCTGACCTCTGTGTGTAACATTACGAAAGTTTGTCCACTATACGGGGTGCCCATTGGCACGATCGGTTCTGCTTGGTTTGATAGGCGGGGCTAGCCAGATTGAGGGCACGAAGGGATCATCGTGGTACAAACCGAACGTTCGTTCCGCAGCCTCAAAAACAAATACGCGTTTTTGTTTTCAAGCCGTAAATCGGGAGATCGGTTTGCCAATTTCCCAGTGGGCGCTACTCTGTACTCTAGAAAAATAAAAATGTATTTTTTAAGGATAAATTTGGACTCCCTGTGAGTTGGACTTCAAGATTTTGTGACTAAAATAAACTCCATTGATATTTTACTTTTTTTTATAGTTTATTTTTCCTTTTGTGGACCAAAGTACTATGTAGCATCAGGTTTAAAGGCACTTTACTTTATTCCCGAGAACAAATGGTCTTTTTAAAACTTTTAACTTTTTCTGCGCTACAACTAGCTGCATCTAAAAATTCTTCCAGTACCGCCCTACTCTGGAACAAGCTGTTTAACACGGTGACACATTGTTTCACATATTCTATTTTCATTTGTATGTTTAGCATTGTGACTGTCTGGTTAAATGATAAAAACTTGATTGTTGCTCACAACAAAAAGTGTTTTAAGTTTATATCAAGTTCATGACAAAAGGGTTTTATGGGTGTTATTTAAAATGTCATACTAAAAACTAATTAGTAATTTACATATATTTTAATATACAAAGTCAAAGAGAGAACATTGCTTTATTTATTTATGGTTGGATGGCAACAATTTTTTCTAACCTACTACTATTCAATATTGTATTTCGAGTGTTTTAAAAAAGTTTTTGTTTTGGTTAAAATAAAAAATTCCTCTGTCATAGGTGTGGCCATTGCAAGAACCTGGCTCCGACATGGGATCAGCTGGCCAACGTTTACAACAAAAAAGCCACCAGTCCAGTGGTGATTGCCAAGGTGAGTGGGTTGTAAATTGTCAAATGTTGTTGTTGTTGTTGCTGTTTTCAAATCCCTTTAGCTGCGAGCATTTCGCTCTTGGCAGCGCAATGCCTCCCTCAAGTAACCACATGTCCTTGTCATCTGGTCAGCGCCAGAGTAGAGCAGGCTTTTTAAGTCTGTAGGTGTGTGTAGGAGCCTGCGTCGAAGAACTGCCAGGTTTGGGCAGTGGAGGAGAAGATGTTCAACGGTCTCCTCGTGGTAGTCACAGTGTCTGCAAAGGGGTTCCCACATGAGAAATTGTCAAATAAAAGTAATCATTGTTTTTCCATGGCGCATTATTATATCCCAGCACAACAGCATACCCTTTCTGTTTGCATTACTTGACAACTTTTATACCACCATCACACCTGAATTCACCCAGAAACATTCTCGGCTCACCGGGAAGCATACTGTGCAAGCTGTTGATGAAGCACCCACAAACTTCTAACAAAGAGACCATTCACGCGTGGGTGAAGTGAGGGAAATTCTTTTATAAAGTGCCTTTTCTGCATATATATATATATATTAGGCCTATATAATATACAATCATACAATGTTTGTCTGAGCTGAGCCTGGAAGTTGAATGAACCCACTACCTTCATGATTGCGAGAGTCCGATAGCCTAACCTTTATACTATAGTGCCGTCAAAAGTTCATGGCGCAACTTATTCAAGTTATTGAAAAAAATATCCTCGTGGTGGAGATTTATGGTATTTCATATTAAATTAATTAAGAAAAAAAAATCTAGCCTCAATTGTTGTGGAAAAATGTGATTAAGTTTTAAGACGTCTCTCCTCATTTAATTTATAATATTACTGTCCAGTAACTCCTCTGATCTTCAGCACTGATGTTATGACCTAATTCAATTAAATGTGTTGCAATCCCCCCCCTCCAAATCATCGCCCTCTTTCTTATACCACATCTCTCTCTCTCTCTTTCTTTTATACCCAATCTCTGTCTATTTTCATCGCCCTCTTTCTTATACCCCATCTCTGTTTTTATCTTCCTCTTTCTTATACCCCGTCTGTATCTTTTTTTATCTCCCTCTTTCTCTCTCTCTCTCTATATATATATATACCCCATCTCTGTCTATTTTCATCTCCCTCTTTCTTAAACCCAAACTGTTTTTGACCCGTGGGTGATTGGAAGGAGCCACTTGTTGGTCTTACTTCATTACTTTCCCTCTGTTACTTCTGTCTGTCTATCTTACTTACTTTCTCCCAGCACTAAATGACCATAATTACTTTGATGTGCGATGTGCTTCTCTTTATCCAGACAAACAAACAAACAAACAAACACAAATGTTTTTAACCCATCAGTACTGTCTGTACCTTTCTCACCTGAATAAGGCAACAAGGTCATATTGAGCGCGAGAAACACAAGTTTGTCGCATTCGCAACAGTTCACAGCACGGCTTCTTTTTGATCACAGTGTTAATTTTGCAACATAAAAAATTCATCGGTTAAAAAAAAACCCCTCTGTTTTTAATCATTTCTCTCTCATCTCAGGTGGACTGCACGGTACAGACAGGCCTGTGCGCCGACCACGAGATCGTAGGTTTCCCCACCCTCAAGCTGTTCGAGGCGGGCGGGGAAAGCCACAAACGCTACACGGGGAAGCGCGACCTTGAGTCTCTGAAGGCCTTCGTTCAGGACAACCTGCAGGGGGAAGAAGGAGAGGTCAGATTATTATTATTATGGTTGTTTATGATGATTTTCTCACAATAATTGATTATATTAATAATTATGATTAATTTCAGGATAATAATGATGGTGATAATGATAATAATGATTAATTTCATGATATACATAATAATCTTAATCAGAATAGTAATCAGATGATGATGCTGATGATAACAATTAATTTTTTTATAATAATGATTATAATGATGATAATGATAATCATGAGTAATTTCATAACAATAATGATGATATTGATAATAATGATTAATTTCATTACAGTAATGATGATGAAATTGATAATAATTATTAGTTTCAGCATAATGATGATGATATAGATAATAATGATTAATTTCAGGATGATATTGATGATATTGTTAATAATGATTTATTTCAGGACAATAATGATTAATTTCAGCATAATAATGATGAAGTTGATTGTTATGACTATTATTATTATTATTACTATTATTAATTTTCTGGCGTTCATATGACCTTATGCAGTTGCAAGTGCTGTAAAACTCTTACTAAAACTAAGCACCCGTATAATAGGATTGGTTCCTTATAACTTTTCAGTACTGTTATACAACATAAAAGTTTTAAAAAAGTTTCTTCCTCCTGACCCCCCGGAGCAGTGCCACTGACTGAAGTGTCTTTAGGCCATTCCCAAAGGGGGGACATTTCTCTTTCAAGCATAGTACAATTGTAAATGGGCTGACTGATCTACAACAGGGAACTGCTGCTTTTTCTTTCCTGATCCTTACTATTGTCATTTTCCTCTACTTTTGTATGTTTGTCACACTCCTGTGACCTATTTCCGGGGTGCCTTGATAGTTGAAGCAGACTTTGTGCTGTTGAAGCTAGAGAGGTGAGCAGTCTAAGTCTGATTCCCTGTAAAGACTTCTCTGTTGACACCCACCCCTTGACGCTCATATGACCTTATGCAGTTGCGAGCGCCGTAAAACCCTGTACTATATAATAAAAAAAATATCTTCCTCCTTTCTGTCTTCCCCAGGCGGTAGAGCAGGCCCCTGAAGGCAAGCCCGAGGTTCCCGAGCCCAAATCTGCCCTGGTCACCCTGACCGACGACACGTTCGCCGAGCACGTTGCTGAGGGCGGCCATTTTGTCAAGTTCTACGCCCCGTGGTGCGGCCACTGCAAGAAGCTGGCGCCCGTGTGGGAGGAGCTGGCCGAGACGTTTGGCCACGTGGAGGATGTCAGCATCGCCATGGTGAGTCGATCGATGGTGTCGGTTTTTTTTTTCTTTCAGCCAAGTTGCAGTTGCGAGTGATGTAAAATTCTTACTGAACTAAGCCAGAAGTTGGGGGAGGCTGGTGGGTGCTGCTGCTAGGTCTTACTTCTATTCGATTTTGTTGTTGTTGTTTCGGTCTGTCTATCTTGCTTTATTCTTGGTGTAAATGTTCATTCTTTTGTCGATCTGATTCGCTTTACTGAGACTTAAACTCAGTAATGTATCATACCATATTATAGTGTATCGTACTGTACTATTCTGTACCATACCATCCATACCATCATACTGTATCTTATCATACCATACCATCTTACCACATCAATCCTACTATACCATATCATACTGTACCATATTGTACCATACTGTACACCATCAAGCCATACCACATAATTTCTCACCACACCATACTGAACACCATCAAGCCATACCACACCATTCCTCAAAACACCATACTGAACACCATCAAGCCATACCACACCATTCCTCACCACACCATACTGAACACCATCAAGCCATACCACACCATTCCTCACCACACCATACTGAACACCATCAAGCCATACCATATCATACTGTACCATACCAGCTCATACTGAGCTGTACTGTGCCTTACCTTACCTTACTGTAATGTATCACACCATACTACACCATATCATACCATCCCAGCATACCATACTACCATACGGTACGCTATATTACCAGCGTATCACACCATATTGCAGCTGTTATTTTAAAAATCTTCCCCCCTCAGATTGACTGCACGAGGTCACAGGTCATCTGCAAGCAGTACGAGATCCGGGGCTACCCGACACTCGTGTGGTTCGTCGACGGGAAGCAGGTGAGGCCATCGGGCGGCTGCTTCGATCGGAAATATTTTGCTTAAAAAGAAATGTTGTTCGAAAAAAAGTGAACAACTGTTTTTTTTCACCTTTGCAGATATTTGGGAGAGATATTCTGTCAGAGTAATTTCTATGCATTTAAGTCATTTTATGAAGTTTTGAGAAATTAGAGAAAAAAAGAGAGCCCGAATCAGAACCAATACTTAACACTTTGCTATCATATTTTGGGGAAAATCCAAAGAAACTGGTTGGTAAACATCGCCAATTGGCGAAATGAAGTGGCAAAGTGTTCTTTTTTAAATTTTATAGTAGAGGGTTTTATGGGGCTCGCAACTGCAGCAAAGTGTTCAGGCCCTGGTTATTTTACTATTAAATACTAGGAAAAAATGCAATGCTCTTTTAAATAAAAAAATTTGGGCCTAGAACATCTGACCAACTGACTGATGATAAAATAGTTATATGTATTGTACATGTCATATGCTTTCAAACGTGTTGCGCACATATCAGAGTACTATGTAATATTCCAGAGATTTGTAGGATCTGAAATTTGAGTGTTCGTGTTCATTGCCGGTAAGAGGACTTTTTGTTGTTGTGACTTTTTCAGAAAGACAAGTACCAAGGTGCTCGCACACACGAGGCTCTCAAAAAGTTTGTGGCCGAGCGGATGGAGGAAGGTAGCCAGGAGGGGGAGGAGGAGGAGGATGAGGGAGAGGAGGAGAACGCCGACGATCTGGTACAGGTGGCTGAGGTAACTACCGCTTCTTCTTTTTCTTCCTCTTCTACTCGCTGTTGTTGTTGTTGTTGTTGTTATTGTTGTTGTTGTTGTTGTTGTTGTTGTTGTTGTTGTTGTTGTTGTTGTTCTTCTTCTTCTTCTTCTTCTT